TCTGCTCACATAAAACAACTATAGCTCTGCTGAGGTTTGCTTTTTAGCTTCTATATGAGAGATATAAATAGCTAAAAGAACAAGAAAAAAGAGGAAGTAGAGCTGAGTTTGGGGCAGAACCAGAAAGGCAGAGAGAGGTTAAAGACTGGCTTTTCTGGAGAAGTAAGAACCATGTTCAGGGGGTAGGAACTCAGCCAGATCGGATTGGAGTGAGGGAAGCAAGTCAGATAATGGGTCAGAAGACTGAATTTAGTGAAAGATAACAGGGTCCATTGGAGAATATGTGAAACTTGCTCTCTAAATGAGATAAGACTGGCCTCTCTTCACCTTGATAGGCCTGATAGACTCCCCTATCCATGTGCTTTGTCCCTTGGCAATATGTCCTCCTACATGAAAAGAAGCACTGCCAGGTCATTATGACAATCCTCAAGATTAACAGGAGGAGGCAGAAGATGGAAGATGTGATAAGAAACATTGCCTTTTTTTTTAGAGTGAGTCTTGCTCTGTCGCCCAGGCTGGACTGCAGTGATGCAATTTCAGCTCACTATAACCTCTGCCCCCTGGGTTCAAGCAATTCTCCTGCTTCAGCCTCCCTAGTAGCTGGGATTAAAGGCATGTACTACCACACCTGGCTAATTTTTGTACTTTTAGTAGAGACAGGTTTCACCATGTTGGCCAGGCTGTTCTTGAACTCCTGACCTTAAATGATCCACCCACCTCGGCCTCCCAAAGTACTGGGATTACAGGCGTGCACCACCATGCTCAAGTGGAAACATTTCTAAGCAAATGATTTTCCTCTAGACCTTGTTTCCTTGATGAAACCAGCGTGTGAGGCCTCTTCAAAGAGGGAGGCTACTGCTTGGAGCAGTTGTCCTCCTAGAGGCCTCATCCTCCAAAGAGGGCTTCCCTTCCTTCAGTGTCTCTGTGGAATCAACAAATGCTTCCATGGACTAAAGAGCAGGGGCCCTGACCTGCTCACCAACACTCCAGCTGCCCCAGGGAAGGGCCCCTAATGAGACCTCAGTAGGAGTCCCCAGTCCCCCAACTCCTCAGAAGGGATCAGCAGCACAGGCATCTCTGTTTTCTCCCACAACTCCCAGCAGGAAGAGCTGTGGGAGGACTTGGGGGGAAATCTAGACCTACAAGAAGAGATCAGTTTCACCATAAGTGTAGCGCTTTAAGTGCACATCCTGGAGGCAGCCTCTCCACTCAGCACACCCAGCAGCATGATATAGTGAGAACGCTGCCACACAGAGAGTGGGGAAGCAGGGGACGGAGGCTGCTTTCCACCTCTGCTGCCAAGGTGCTGTCTGACCTTGGTCTGCCCTGGCCCTCAATCTCCTGTGTACAATGAGAGGGAGTTACTTTCTGTTGCTTGTGTCTTTTTGTTCCTTGAATTCAAAAGTAAATGTTCATATTTTCTTTCACATGGGAGTCCTGGTCAAAAGTTCATACCTTGATAACCTCAGCAATAAGCTCTTAGAAGAGCTGGGGCAAGTGGGCTGTCTCTTAGGAAAGGGCTGCTAGGCACTGGTGACTGCTCTACAGGGGAAGGGTGGTGTTGGTGGGTTGAGTCAGGGATAGGAAAAATTCTCATAAAATGGTTGAAGTCAAGAGACCACTGAACAGCCCAGGCCGAAAGGGAATCAGGTCTTCTGTAATCAGCAACCACAGACAATGAAGTCCCTATCTTTCTTTAGATACCTGGCAACATCTGATTTCCATTATAAAAGACCTGGGCTGGTCTGTGGGGTGGGAAGGGACATATGGAGAGTGAACCCTGTCCTTGGGGCTGAGGAAAACCGATAGTGTCAGGAGGATGGGATGGTGGTGCCAGGGCAGGTGGAGGCCTCCTGTGTGTTCTGGAGACCAGACTGTTGACTGCACCTGGTGAACTCACAGGCCAGTCAGGGCCACTGTCTGGGAAGGTAGAACCTGTGCCTGCTGGGCCTCAGCCAAGGGCTTGGCATCAGAACCTCTTCCTCTCCCAGTTCATGCTGTGGTGGGGGGCGGGGGGGGTGAGAGGCTAATCGGCAGAGAGGTGGAAAGTCTTATAAAAGGGGAATAAACAACAGGACTGATAGCCAGCACAGCCATGGATGCATTTTCCCCTTCAGTAGTTGGTTTGTCACATGAGGCAAAACGTTGCACTATGGACAGGAGACAGAATCTGGAAAAAGATTGCATAATATTTCACCGGGGAGGAGGTTTCTCAGTTGAGGCCTATTAATGCTTAGTTTTAGAGTGGGCTTGAGGGCCTATACTGTCCCCTAAGAGATTCTTTAGCCCAGAGGATCATAAAATCTCCCAAGTTCCTGCAATTCAAATTGACCTTTGCTCCAGTCAGGAAAACTGTGTAGACTTGGACAGGGGCATATGTGTTACCTGAGAGAAGAACATGGGAGGAGTGGGGCTTCCCACAACCTGTCTCTAAGGAGGCTCCTTGGGGCCCTGAGTTTTTGGGTGTGATGTAGTTCTAACCTTCTAAGGCTGCCTCTGGCTTTAGGAGGATTTCAGGGATTAATTCCAGGCACTCTGTGAAAAGGGCAAAAATTTACTTCCCCTATGTCCCCACTGAAGCCTGGGAGCAGGCCGGTTACTGGTGTGATTTCCTGACGTGACTGTCACTGGTGGCCTTGAACTCTCAAGTTTGTCCTCCTATAAGAAAGTCAAACTTGGGACCTGGGTAGCCCAGCCATGCTCAGTGACAGAGAAGTTGGCATTTTGGGAAAAGTGTTAAGAAATCTGATGTCTTCACTGCAGAGTCACTTTCTAAGGAGGACAGGTTCAGGCTCCCAAGGACTTGAGGTACGCCAGTTGCACGCATACTTTCTGGAGCCCACCAGGCTCCACAACCTTGCTTTTCGCCTTCATGCAATTGGATATTTCCCCCTCACACCAATTCCTTCACACTCAGCTTAGTACATGTTTCTGCACAGAGATTTTAGGGAGACAGGAGATGCTCTCCCCAAGAAAATGATTCAGTTATATCCACTCTCATTGAGTGAAGTCCTTTTAAAAGGAACTAAATTTTTTTTTTTTTTTGAGAAAGACTGTCACTCTGTCACCCAAGCTGGAGTGCAATGGCACAATCTTGCCTCACTGCAAGCTCCGCCTCCCGGGTTCAAGGGATTCTCCTACCTCAGCCTCCTGAGTAGCTGGGATTACAGGAGTATGCCATTACGCCTGGCTAATTTTTGTATTCTTGGTAGAGATGGGGTTTCACCATGTTGTCCAGGCTGGTCTTGAACTCCTGACCTTGTGATCCTCCCACGTAGGCCTCTCAAAGTGCAGGGATTACAGGTGTGAGCCACTGCGCCCAGCCTGGAGCTAAAACATTTTATTCTATATTTGGAAATAAGGCTTAAATATGTATATTCAGTCTCACTATGCTCTAAATGATTCCAGATTCTTTTTCTTTTTCTTTTTTTTTTTTTTAGTGGAGTCTTGCTCTGTTGCCCAGGCTGGAGTGCAGTGGTGCAATTTCGGCTCACCACAACCACAGCCTCCTGGGTTCAAGAGATTCTCCTGCCTCAGCCTCAAGAGTAGCTCGCATTACAGGTGCCCACCACCACACCTGGCTTATTTTCATATTCTTAGTAGGGATGGGATTTCACCATGTTGGCCAGGCTGGTCTCAAATGCTTGACCTTGTGATCTGCCTGCCTCGGCTTCCCAAAGTACTGGGATTACAGGAGTGAGCCACCACACCTGGCCAATTCTGGATTCTTAAGAAGAAAAGAGAGAGAGACAGACAGAGAGGTAGGGTTGGGGGGTTGGTCAAGGAGTTTCTGTGTAGATGTGTGGAAGAAGAGAGACAGGGAAGGAACTCAGGAGGGAGAGGCTGAGACCTGAAGATGAAGCACAGCTTTGCTGAAGCTGCATTCCTGCCCCTCACATGCCTTCAAACACCCTCAGACTCAGACATACTTCCTCAGACATGGCTGAGAACTCTTAACTGCATCTGTCCCAAATTCTTTAATGTCTGAGGCCACTGAGAGAAAGAAGAGAGGAAGAGTGCCCAGCTGGAGGGAACTTAAAATAAAGGCTCTGACTCTGCCACTGTAGCTTCTTGCTCAGTTCTGCTCCCTGATCTGTCATAGGTCAGCATTAGCCAGTAAGTGGCCTAAGCACGCAAGGGAAGAGGACCCTGCAGGCCAGAACCGAGCTTTCTACAAGAGGAAGGGTTGGCTAGGAGCAGTGACTCACGCCTGGAATCTCAGCACTTTGGTAGCCTGAGGCGAGTGGATTGCTTGAGGTCAGGAGTTCAAGATGAGCCTGGCCAACAAGGCAAAACCCCGTTTCTACTAAAAATACAAAAAGTAGCCAGACGTGGTAGCAGGCACCTGTAATCTCAGTTACTCAAGAGGCTGAGGCAGGAGAATCGCTTGAACCCAGGAGGCAGAGGTTGCAGTGAGCTGAGATGGGCAACAGCTGTCTTAAAAAAAAAAAAAAAAAAAAAAAAAAAAAGGAATGAGTTGAGGGATGTCATCTTGGCTGTTATCTTTATATCTTTATCCTACTTTATCTTCATGGGCATCCAGGTTGCAGGGAATAGGTGGGAGGCATGGGACAGCATGGGCTTTGGATCTCTTTAGGTTAATTCTTCCATCCTTTTCCCTCACTTCCCTCCACTTTCAAACACCACTCACTTCCCTTTGTCTGCCCCTACTTTTCCATCTCTTCCTGTTCTAATTTTCCTTTGCTTTCTCACTTTCTGGGCTTCAGAAGGAATCCCAGAATACCATCTATTTGTGTGTGTGTGTGTGTGTGTGTGTGTGTGTGTGTGTGTGTGTGTGCATATTGTACATTTGTGCATATAGGGTGTGTGTGTGCTTGTACATGTGTATTTGGGGGGCTGTGCTGAGATTTTGGAGCCAGCCTAATGACAGGACATCATTCAGATTACCTGAGCTTTTCTTGTAAAAACACCCTTACCCTGTACATACCCAATTCCTTATTCTTCTCAAGATCTTGTGGAAATGAACACAGCCACCCAAATGAGAATAAGCAAAGGCTGTTTATTCAGAGTTGGCTAAAGATGGCAGGCAACTACCATCACTTGCATTTGGGAGACACTCACAGCAGGCAGGAGAGTGAAAATCTTTACAATGGAAAACAGGGAAGGCTTCAGGGATGCTCTGGTTGCAGACAGCAGCATGGGGAAGCTGTGGGTGGGCATCCTATGTGATGGATTAAGGATGTATATTGACTTTTTTCTGATTGGTCCTAATTTGGAGAAGTGGAAATAAATATTAGGGAACTTTTCAGTTATTAACTCCATAAGAGAGACTTTCAAGCAAGGAAAAAATAAAATAAAATAGGAATAATCAAGTCCTAGCTGTCTGGGGGCAGTTGCTACAGGAGTTGTCTGGCTTCCTGGATTGTTTGCTGTATATGGTAGGTTGGCTTTTCATACTTATGGCTGGAGACTACAGGTCAGAGTTCCAGCTTTATACGTGGTCTGGCCATTGTTCATTTGTGTGGTCAGTCTTTCAGTCCCTGCTTTTGGTCATTCTTTGACTTCTGAGAAGTTTACCAACTCAGGGAAAGCTAGAATTTCAGATATTCACCACTCCTAAATTGTTCGGTCATCTTCATAGTGAACTGTATTGCATGATCTTCTTGATCTTCTATTGTGTCATTATGGCAATCATCTGATGAGAGAGTGGCTGCATAGAAACATTTAAAACTCTGGATAAAATGGAACAGACTAGCATCATGACCACTATCACAAAAACAAGAACAACTGATAGTCTCTCTGAGATGCTTTGGAACCAGCAACTCCAATTGCTTAACCTAGGCCAAGAAGACAAATCCCATAGGCCATGAGGACCTTAGAGATCCAATATTAATAGGTTTTTTTTTTTTTGAAGCAATGTGTGGCTTTCTTTTTTAACCTTGCCTGTGTCCTTGACCTAAGTATCATAAGAAGCATTGGCAATGGTGTAGACACAATTGGAGTGGTCTCTTCTAATTGTGTGGAATTTTGAATCTCTTTTTTGGTTGTGAAACATGAACTCAAAGATTGGTTCCTTGGAGTCTCACTGCTGTATCTATTGTTAACAGATTCTGACAAAGTCTCTTCCTTATAAATGAAGTTCAAAAGCAGTTTTTCTCTGATTTTTCTTCCAGTAGACAAATCCCCTAGGTGAGGATCATGGAGAGGTTGTTTAGGAAGATTTTGTAGGAAGTGGGCCTTCACCTGTTGGTGATAGGACCGGGTACAATAGATGAGTCCCTTGCAGTATTTTGTCATGTCTGCATGGAGTAGGACAGACTCTAGTATTAGAAGTGAAATCTCTAAATGCTTGGACCTTCCAGGTATCAATTCATAGGGTGATAACCTATGTGTCCCCAAGGGAGTGGCCTGTATATCCACAAAGGATAGTGGGTATACTTTTGGGCAAGGGAGCTCAAGGATTTCTGAAATTTTTGCTTATTTTAATTTAAGGATGCCATGGGTCCTTTTAACTTTCCCAGGAACTTGTGGTTGGTAAGGATGGTGTAGTTTTTGAGTAAGAGTTCTTTTACAAACCTTGCCTTAAAGTGTGTGCCTCAGTCACTTGATATAAAAGGTAGGATGCCTCAGGTTGAAAACACAAAATCAAGCTGCTTGTTCATGGCTATAAGGGCTGTAGCTTTTTGGCAAGGAAATTCTTCAACTCATCCTGAAAACAGACATGCAATATCTAAAACATGGTCAAATCCCATGGAGGGTGAAAGCCAGTTAAATGTCTTGTGAAATAAAATTTATGGAAAGCCATTGATTTGGACTAGGCTCCTGCACCAAGCCTCACAGATTAAACCAATACGGTCGTTTAATGATACGTTGTAGCTGAGCTTTGGTTAACTGCAGGAGACTCTGTAACCAATTAAGCTGTAACCAATGGCTGCCTCTGTACCATGCTTCTTTTGTCTCCTATAGATGCTATCAGATTATGTCATTGATTGGAGTTTCTAAGCTTGCTCTGGTTCCAAGGTCTGCCTGATTTTTGAACTGTTTTTGTTTTGTTTGCTCTGTTTTGTTCTGTTCTTCTTTGCTCAAATAAACTCAGCTAAAATGTACACTTGTCTAAGGTTTTATTTCATGTAACAGTCTGAAGGTGTCCAAAGAGGCTTTGGTTTCCAGCCATGTCCCAACTTTACAGTTTTTCCAGAGTTATATTTTTGATAGGTGATACATGACCCCAAAAGTAAGCTCAGTTGTCTTTTCAAAGTTTTCCTACCAAGGTTGACTTAAGATAGTAACTGATTCAGCTGGGCATGGTGGCGTGTGCCTGTAATCCCAGCTTCTCAGGAGGCTGAGACAGGAGAATTGCCTGAACCCAGGAGGCGGAGGTTGCGGTGAGCCGAGATCGCGCCATTGCACTCCAGCCTGGGTAACAAGAGCGAAACTCCATCTCAAAAAAAAAAAAAAAAGATAGTAACTGATTTGTCTATGCCATGATGGGTGTTTCATGGAGAAATCTAGATAACGTAGGAGACGAAATACCTTTCTTATCTGTCTTAAGTTCTAAGGTGGGGCTCTATAAAAGAAGGCAGATTTAAAAGTGAAAGACATATACATTTATTTAGTATAAATTTATCATGGTCCGCAAAGAGGTAACAAGGACTTTGTCCCAAGTTTGCCAGGTTTGGGCATCAGTGCTGTAGTGGCTTTCTCTGCTGCTCCTTGTGAATCATCAGACAGATGTGGTTCACATAGGAAGAATATAGGCAAAAATTTACTCTTTCTCCAGCAGCTCTGGAAAGATGGTGGCCTGGGTGATTTACCACTCCTTCCTCACACCGTCCTTGATTTTATTTGAACAGAGCCCGAGATGCTCCTCCCACCCTTTTCCTCTTGGAAGCCAAACCCCTTTGTAATCTGTATAAGGTCCACACTTCAGCAGCTGAGTGACTGCAGAAGCTTACCTTCCATCACCAAGCTGGAGATAAAGGTAAGCAGCCCAAGAGGTGGTCTCAGGTGATGCTTCTGCTTCAGCTTCAGGGTTGGAGAGGAGGGAACCAGGGCCAGTCCACAGCACTGAGAAAGCTTGGATGGTGCTAGCATTGACAAAATGTGGCCCAGGCAAAATCAGTTGGGGGCAGGCAGGTCAGGGTGGAACGTGCAGGCTGCAGAGCATCCATGGGACTGGAGAAGAAGGAGCCCCCAAGTTGGGGGCTAGCCAGCATTTCTTGTTGAAATACAATGGAATCCTTTATGATGCCAGTGTCAAGCACTGGTCTGAATTCCCTTATGCTGTAAGACAACAAGGCTCTGTCACCCAAGGTCCTGGATGTCGGGGATACAATTTTGCTCATGATTTATTCAAACTGATGTTTTGATAAGCCATTTGAGCACTGGGTACAATGTATTTTGGATCAAAGAAACTCCAGTATTAAAAGATAGTAACTGACAGAATTTTGGGTCACTTCATAGATCACCACCTAGACGGGAGGAAGACCTGCTTTGGAGAGTGGGAATAAAACACTCGTGGAGAAGGGTACACGTGAGTGTCTCATTACACGAAAAACCTCAGGAAGAGGGACAGACGCCTTTCTGGCTGACCTGAAACAGAAACTAAACCAGAGAAGCCATAGGTGGGAGCTGGAGTTCTTTTTTTAAGAGGCCTCTTTTCCTTCTTTCTCCTTTTCCCACTTAGGCTTTTCCAGGAAAGTGAGGCCACCATGGCTCTGGAGAAGTCCCTCGCCCTGCTCCCTCTGCTAGTCCTGGTGCTGCTGGTGCTGGGCTGGGTCCAGCCTTCCCTGGGCAAGGAATCCCGGGCCAAGAAGTTCCAGCGGCAGCACATGGACTCAGACGGTTCCCCCAGCAGCAACCCCACCTACTGCAACGACATGATGAGGCGCCGGAATATGACACAGGGACGGTGCAAACCAGTGAACACCTTTGTGCACGAGCCCCTGGTAGATGTCCAGGATGTCTGCTTCCAGGAAAAGATCACCTGCAAGAACGGGCAGGCCAACTGCTACAAGAGCAGCTCCAGCATGCGCATCACTGACTGCCGCCTGACGAACGGATCCAGGTACCCCAACTGTGCATACCGGACCAGCCAGAAGGAGAGACACATCATTGTGGCCTGTGAAGGGAGCCCGTATGTGCCTGTCCACTTCGATGCTTCTGTGGAGGACTCCACCTAAGGTCAGAGCAGTGAGATACCCCGCCTCCCTCAACCTCTTCATTTCCACAGCTGCCTCTCTCCTCTTCCTTCCCTGCTGTGAAAGAAGTAACTCCAGTTAGGGCTCCTATTCAACACACACATGCTTCCCGCTCCTGGGTCCCACCCCCGCGTGATTTTGGGGGTGAAGAGTGGGTTGTGAGGTGGGCCCCGTGTTAATTCCTCCACTCTTCCTTTCAATAAAACATAGTTGCAAACACCTGATTTGTGACGCAGTTCCATCAGGTACTGTTTCTGGCATCGCTTTTCAGCAAGGGGTAAGAACTATAAATCTGATTAGCTTTGGAGAACGGTGAATGGAGTAATTAAATGCCTTCCCTTCTGACTCAGCTTTTAGGGGCTTGAGAAAACTCCTTTCCTTGTAGATTCCTTGATACCAAACACGAAACTGTTAAGCGTGGGCTTTTTTAGACAAAAGGGAGCTAAAGCCTGGGACACTGCCATGAAGGGTGAACTGACAGAGGGGAGGGGTGAAGCTCAAACAAGATGATTCTCTGGCACAGAAGGAAGGTAAGTGCAACCTAAGAAAGATCCTGCTTAGCCTCAGGGTGGGGAAGAGGAATCAATGAAACTATGATCCTAAATTTCTATTTTCATTTTTTGTTTGAGTGAGCTATTACTAAATCAGAAAAATGGGCACCTCTTAGTTGAAAAGTCAGAACTTTACATTGTAGAGCTGGAAGTGACTTTGGAGAACATGGAATTGAGGGATAGCAAGTAGATTTCAGTTTGCGTACCAACTCTAATTGGAAGTGCTGATCAGGCAGCGTGGCTCACACATATAATCCTAGCACTTTTGGTGAGATAGGTGGCTCACCTGAGGTCAGGAGTTTGAGACCAGCCTGGCCAGCATGGTGAAACCCCGTTTATACTCAAAATACAAAAATCAGCAGGGCGTGGTGGCAGGCACCTGTAATTTCAACTACTAGGGAGGCTGAGGCAGGAAAATCACTTGAACCTGGGAGGCAGAGGTTGCAGTGAGCTGAGATGGTGCTGCTTCACTCCAGCCTCGGCAACAAGAGCAAAACTCTATCTCAAAAAAAAAGGAAGTGCCTACCCAAAACACTGTAGAAAAAGATTCTGGTCAGTGATGTGGTTGAATAATAGCCTCTATTGAAGGCATGAGAGGGGGAAGGGTGCATGTGTAACACATTTGCCATCCCTGACCAAATGTAACTCTTGCCTTTCAAGTGACTTGTGCATGGCCTATTGCTAGTTAGCGGCACAGCTGGGACAAGACCCCAGGTTTCCTGACTTCTTAGTCATTGTTGTAACTCAGGAAGAAAGCTCCCCTCCTTCACTAAGTGCAGTGGAGCAGTAGCTCTCTCCTGGATCTTGCTAGTTGGCTCCCAGTGTACTTAGCCTGTGAATCCACTCCATTCTGGACAATCCTTCCTGACAGCCACTGAAAGACTACCTTTGGCATCTGTCAACACTTAATCATTACATTTGATCCCCTGTTTACAGTTGTATCTGGCTCTAGATAAGGTCACAGAACTAGAGAAAGGCCCTATTTTCGGCCAACATGTCTAGTTCTGTTCTTGTCTTCATATACTACATTTATAGTTGTTGGTAGAGGCTGCGATTTTCTAATGTAGAGTAACTCCTCAGCCCTGGGGGCTCTGCATAAGGAAGAAAACCTACAGGCGAGAAGGTCCATTCCCA